TTTAAATCACATGCATGACATATCAAAAAAATCATAAATAGGCACTCCCCAAATTTGTAATTGAGGCATGGACATTGTAGAGTATTGTTGATAAACAGTTTTTCATTGTCAGTCATCAAATTCAAGATTTGGCAATTTTGTAACATTTTATACCGAATGACTTTCTCATAGACATGCAGTAAAATAAGATAAAAAAGTTTATTTTTTGTGAAACACAAGTTTCAAGCAAAATTATAGCTCTGGAAAAGAAACACTGAACTGTTGAACAATCCTTAATTATATATTTTAGCCAGTTGCTTGACCATCACCACAGCTGATGAGCTTTTAAAACTTTTATAATAGAATTGAAATCACTTGATACCTTGTGTACCAGAACTTTCTGCTTACCAGATGTTGGAACAAGAATGTATAGAAAAAACTATAGCTGGAAATAATAAAATACACTATAGCCCTTGTTTAAAATAAAAATACAATACCATTGACAATGTTTCTGTAATTTAATTGTAAAATACCTCCAGTGGTCTCATCACACACAATGCTTCACCCACCCCCTCAATTCTCACCCACCTATTTCGACTCCCATACATTTGAAAATTGCACAGTTAAATATAAAAACCCATTTTGGATCTGGACTGTACCAACATGAGGCAGCTTCTTCAGTATTTTCCAGTCGATTCCAGAAATGAAATGACATCATCGCCTATCGCGCCGCGAGTGACGATCATAACTACGCTTGTGCCAACCACTTGAAGACGTGGAATGTCGGTTTTCCTGCTAAAATTTGAGAAAAATATTTGAATCATGGCGAGCGCACATCAGTTTTAAAAATTGGCGCTGGAAAAAGAATACTTTAGGGCGATTTGGTTTGAATTAAGTTTCGATATTAACAGGATATGGGGGATACAATAGCTTTATAAAGACTTTATTGTCACAGTAGGGAGTTTAAGATTCAAGACGCGGCCAGGTCGACGACGCTCTCGCAAAACAAAGAAACTCCACACACGAGACAATAGGTCAGAGGTGTGCATAACTTGTGGTGCCACGACATCGTTCTCGTTCTTACAACGCTTTCAAATGAGGCAATTTCACAGCTTCTCAATGACATGAAAGCAGCTGGAAAGTGATAGGCTAAAGGGCTCATTTACACTTGCGATTTTTGCTGCGATTTTCTTCTTTTGATAGATGTGAACGAGTGAATTAGTGACTGATGTTCAAATAAAAGCTCTTATACATCAGAGCATTCGTAAGTAATTACGCATTCACATCTGTCAAAAGTCAGATATATACGCAAAAATTATACGCAAAACTCACATGGAACTTGCAAGTAGAGTTTTTGCGATGAGTAGAAAAGATACATCAAATACTCACTCGAAATCTTCTATCGTATTCACGTTGAAACGAACTCTCCCCGTGATGCGAATAATCACGATATTTGTGTCTATTCTTTGTCCGTTTCACCTGAAAATACAAAATCACCCGAGGAAGACGATTAGCGCAATTGCCTGCATCATGCACGAACAAAATAAAGATATTGACTACAAATTGAAGATATTTCATCAGACTAAACTACGGGAATAGTAATATAAAAAGGTAGTCAACTTTAATTACAGTATAGAACAATGTTCAGACTACATAAGACCAACTGGTTGATGGTGTATCATAATATCACCGACCTTCCCATATTCATTTAGAAGCATTACCAACTAATTTTGTGTAAGATATGCAGACAGTACATCGTATTTTGAAGAAACATAGAAGTTTGAAATCGGCAAACAATAGTTTTTTACATCAAAAACTTGGAACCCCTTCTCTGAAGAATTTTTGAAATTTTTTGAAACAGAACTTTGCTAACGTTGAAATTTTTGAGTACAAGACAATGAAATGGTTTGAATTTAAATTTGAATGAAATTAGACGTCTTGCTGGGCGATGGATGGGTGTGTTGGTCTTGTGATTGTCACTGATTGACTCGTAAGAAACAGTCTTTATTTCGACTTTTTTACACACATATTCTAGTTCATTTTCATTTAGGAGCACACCAAACCAATATTTAGTTGATATGCACACAATACATCATAATCTGAGACACTAAGTGTTTGTTTACAATAAAAACTCTGATTCCCTCTCTAAAGAATCAGTTTTTGAAATGCCCAGCAGGGAGTAGCGAACTCTCCCGAAGTTCGGAATTTTTTGAGACAATATATAAGTTGGTTTGAATTTGAATGAAATTAGAGGGTGTGTTGATCTTGTGACAGTTTCACAAGCAGTTTAGTTTTGAAGAACGCTTCGTTTATTTCAAGATGACTGAGATTGTTAGCGGAGTTTTGAAGCTGACATTTGGATTTTTAGTGAACAAGGCTCGCAGTAAAATTTCAGAACGTTTAAACGATGGCGACGTCACGGACGAAGAATGTCGACGCTTGATCGTGAAAGAACTCGATGAGATTAAGAGGAAGTTGGATGGATTGGCGAGAAAGGATTTACTGAGCAGTTTTTGTTTTCTTCAAGAAGGAATCAATGGTCTTTATCAGTCGCTACAACAGTTTAATGCATCCGAGAATGGATCAGAATCGACCGAACAAGCAACCTCAGCTGGAGCTACGTCTTTTGAGAAGATTGTTCCTGTTTCTCAAATCAACGAAGTCACGTCTTTGATAAACGCCTTCAATTCATTGAAAATACATTCCAAGGAACGCTTTCTCTCTGCCATTGAGTCGTTCAAGCTCGCTCGTGAAAAAGCAACCGAAGCATTCTGCAACGAAGCTTTGTCCATCGAGGACCGAATTCAAGCGTCGCAGGTGCGAATGATGGCCAGAATTTTAGAAAAATCAGAAGATCCTGACGCGGGGGTAAGCGATTGCCTGCAATACCTGAGGCAGCTTCATGATATCAAAGCTATTCAAGAAATATTTTCTGCTGTGATTGACGGCGGAATTAAATCTCTGTTCAATAAAACGAAGCGACTCGAGATTGCTTCGTCTGTTCACCAAATGAATCTGCTTTTGTTTGAGTTTGCCAAAAGGTTTTCGAACTTGCGAACAGTGTTTTTTAATTGGCCCGGGATTTTGCTTGGAAAGGAAACTCATCACCCATTAGTCGGGAGTGATCGCTTTAGTACAAAATACAAAGAGTCTGGTGTGGAAATTACGTCGCCGTACCTGGATTACACATTTTCCGAAGGTATTAATCCATTTCGTTGTGTTGTAAATAGCAAAAGAGAAGTTGTTGCGAAAATAGCGAGAGGTGATTCACTTCAAATATTGAAACCCTCAGGAGAATCCCGAACAATATTTGATCCTTCCAAACAAGAAGATTTGCCAAGTTGCGAGGTTGTTGCGATGGATATCGATGCCGAAGATAACCTTTACGTCATCACGAGATTTCGAGAAAGCGATGATCAACCATGGAGTTACAAGTTGTTGATATTTGATGAGCATGGAGAGAAAAAACTTGAGTCTCTGTTGCCTTTTCAACACCACTCTTCATATGGATATGACGTACCCATAGCAGTAAACAATGACAAAATGATCGCCGTTTTTGATCTAGAGAAAAAAATTCTACATGTCGGAACTTCATGTAAAACGAATTCATTTGAAGTCCATAATAGTTTTCATCTCAAAGAATTATCTGACAGAGTGAAGGTGATACGGTTTCTAGATAATAATGGAACAAAAATAATTGCTGCAGGTTATTATTTTGAACATTGTTTTTATATCTACACAGAGAACGGGGAGTTGGAACGCAAAGTTATGATACCTGAAAAATATGGATCTATTTGTTCTGTTGCGATAAATTACATCACAAAACGGATCCTGGTTTTAACTGACGATGGACGTTATCTTTGTAGTTTCTCAGAAACAGGAGAACTGAAAGACGATGTCGAGTTGGGGTCTTTTTCTACTTCTTGTATTATTTCTAATCCCAATGGTGCAGTTGCTTTGGTTTGGAAACACCACGTAAGTCGTAACTTTTCTTCAACTGTAGTAGACTATGCTACAAGGCAAATATTACAAATTACATTCTGGGCCATAGTGCGATTTTCCCGCTTTTAATACTGTATAAACTTATCTACAAAACGCTTTCTGTAACAATACATGAACATGTGTTTGCCGCCATCTTATTTTCCCTCTCTCTCTCTCGATCCCTCGTTACCCTTAAATATCCATACCTATCTGTGACGTCCTTATTAACGCTGAACACTACACCGCTGAGATTATTTCTAATCCCCATGGTGCAGTTGCTTTGGTTTTGGAACAGCGCGTAACTTTTCTTTAACTGTAGTAGACTTATTTTCATGAAGTCAAATATTAAAAATGCACTATGGGCATATGTCAAATGGCAATGCAATAAATGCATGGTAAATAAAACTTTAATTAGTCAAACCAATTCCCAAGGATGACAATCACATACAAAGAGTTCAGAGAAATTATTTTTAATCTTGTATGACTCATAACTCTCTGAAATCACTGAACTCTCTCTGTGTGTGACTGTCATCCTGTGAGGATTGACTTTTTGTTCACTATAAGCCATTAAGATTTTACCATTCACATGATCACATCAGTGTAATTTTAAATCACATGCATGACATATCAAAAAAATCATTAATAGACACTCCCCAAATTTGTAATTGAGGCATGGTCATTGTAGAGTATTGTTGATAAACAGTTTTTCATTGTCAGTCATCAAATTCAAGAATTGCCAATTTTGTAATATTTTATACAGAATGACTTTCTCATAGACATGCAGTAAAATAGAATAAAAAAGTTTATTTTTTTGTGAAACACAAGTTTCAAGCAAATTATAGCTCTGGAAAAGCAACACTGAACTGATGAACAATCCTTAATTATATATTTTAGCCAGTTGCTTGACCATCATCATAGCTGATGAGCTTTTAAAACTTTTATAATAGAATTGAAATCACTTGATACCTGGTGTACCAGAACTTTCTGCTTACCAGATGTTGAAACAAGAATGTATAGGAAAAACTATAGCTGGAAATGATAAAATAGACTATAGCCATTGTTTCAATAAAAATACAATACCATTGACAATGTTTCTGTTATTTAATTGTAAAATACCTCCAGTGGTCTCCTCACACACAATGCCTCACCCACCCCCTCAATTCTCACCCACCTATTTTGACTCCCATACATTTGAAATTGCACAGTTAAATATAAAAACCCATTTTGAATCTGGACTGTACCAACATGAGGCAGCTTCTTCAGTCTTTTCCAGCCAATTCCAGAAATGAAATGACATCATCGCCTATCACGCCGCGAGTGACGATCATAGCTACGCTTGTGCCAACCACTTGAAGACGTGGAATGTCGGTTTTCCTGCTAAAATTTGAGAAAAATATTTGAATCATGGCGAGCGCACATCAGTTTTAAAAATTGGCGCTGGAAAAAGAATACTTTATGGCGATTTGGTTTGAATTAGGTTTCGATTTTGACAGGATATGGGGGATACAATAACTTTATAAAGACTTTCTCGTCACAGTAGGGAGTTTAAGATTCAAGACGCGGCCAGCTCGACGACGCGCTCGCAAAACAAAGAAACTCCACACACGAGACAATAGGTCATAGGTGTGCATAACTTGTGGTACCACGACATCGTTCTCGTTCTTACAACGCTTTCAAATGAGGCAATTTCACGGCTTCTCGACGACATGAAAGCAGCTGCAAAGTGATAGGCTAAAGGGCTCGTTTACACTTGGGATTTTTGCTGCGATTTTCTTCTTTTGATAGATGTGAACGAGTGAATGAGTTACTGATGTTCAAATGAAAGCTCTTATACATCCGAGCATTCGTAAGTAATTACGTATTCACATCTGTCAAAAGTCACATATACGCAAAATTATTTGCAAAACTCACATCGAACTTGCAAGTAGGGTTTTTGCGATGAGTAGAAAAGATACATCAAATACTCACTCGAAATCTTCTATCGTATTCACGTTGAAACGAACTCTCCCCGTGATGCGAATAATCACGATATTTGTGTCTATTCTTTGTCCGTTTCATCTGAAAATACAAAATCACCCGAGGAAGACGATTAGGGCAATTGCCTGCATCATGCACGAACAAAATAAATATATTCACTACAAATTGAAGATATTTCATCAGACTAAACTACGGGAATAGTAATATAAAAAGGTAGTCAAATTTAATTACAGTATAGAACAATGTTCAGACTACATAAGACCAACTGGGTGGTGTATCATAATATCACCAACCTTCCCATATTCATTTAGAAGCACGGCTAACTAATTTTGTGTAAGATATGCAGACAGTACATCGTATTTTGAAGAAACATAGAAGTTTGAAAATTGGCAAACAAAAGTTTTTTATATCAAAAACTTGGAACAGCTCTCTGAAGAATTTTTGAAATTTTTAAAACAGAACTTTGCTGACGTTGAAAATTTTCGAGTAAAAGACAATGAAATGGTTTGAATTTAAATTTGAATGAAATTAGACGTCTTGCTGGGCGATGGATGGATGTGTTGGTCTTGTGATTGACTCGTAAGAAACAGTCTTTATTTCGACTTCTTTTAACCCACATATTCTAATTCATATTCATTTAGGAGCACATCAAACCAATATTGAGTTGATATGAACACAATACATCATAATCTGAGACACTAAGCGTTTGCTTACAATAAAAACTGTGATTCCCTCTCTAAAGAATCAGTTTTCGAAATGCCCAGCAGGGAGTAGCGAACTCTCCCAAAGTTCGGAATTTTTTGAGACAATATATAAGTTGGTTTGAATTTGAATAAAATTACACGGTGTGATGATCTTGTGACAGTTTAACAAGCAGTTAATATAATGTTTAATTTGAAGAACGGTTCGTTTATTTCAAGATGACTGAGATCGTTAGCGGAGTTTTGAAGCTGACATTTGGATTTTTAGTGAACAAGGCTCGCAGTAAAATTTCAGAACGTTTAAACGATGGCGACGTCACGGACGAAGAATGTCGACGCTTGATCGTGAGAGAACTCGATGAGATTAAGAGGAAGTTGGATGGATTGGCGAGAAAGGATTTACTGAGCAGTTTTTGTTTTCTTCAAGAAGGAGTCAATCGTCTTTATCAGTCGCTACAACAGTTTAAGGAATCCGAGAATGGATCAGAATCGACCAAACAAGCAACCTCAGCTGGAGCTACGTCTTCTGAAGAAACCGTTCCAGTTTCTCAAATCAACGAAGTCACGTCTTTGATAAACACCTTCAATTCATTGAAAATACATTCCAAGGAACGCTATCTCTCTGCCATAGAGTCGTTCAAACTCGCTCGTGAAAAAGCAACCGAAGCATTCAGCAACGAAGCTTTGTCCATCGAGGACCGAATTCAAGCAACGCAGGTTCGAATGATGGCCAGTATTTTAGAAAAATCAGAAGATCCTGACGCGGGGGTAAACGATTCCCTGCAATACCTGAAGCAGCTTCATGATGTCAAAGCTATTCAAGAAATATTTTCTGTTGTGATTGACGGCGGATTTAAATCTCTGTTTAATAAAACGAAGCGACTCGACAATGCTTCGTCTGTTCACCAAATGAATCTGCTTTTGTTTGAGTTTGCCGGAAGGTTTTCGAACTTGCAAACGATGTTTTTTGATTGGCCCAGGATTTTGCTTGGAAAGAAAACTCATCATCCATTAGCCACTATAGCCAGGAGTGATCGCCTTATTGAAAAATACAAAGAGTCTGGTGTGGAAATTACGTCGCCGTACCTGGGTTACACATTTTCCGAAAGTTTTGATCATTTTCGTTGTGTTGTAAATAGCAAAAGAGAAATTGTTGCGATAGCGAGAGACAAATCTGTTAAAATCTTGAAACCCACAGGAGAATCCCGTACAATATTTGATCCTTCCAAACAAGAGGATTTGCCATATTGCGCGGTTGCTGCGATGGATATCGATGCCCAAGATAACCTTTACGTCATCACAAGAGAAAGCGATGATCAACCATATAGTTTCAAGTTGTTGATATTTGATGAGCATGGAGAGAAAAAACTTGAGTCTCTGTTGCCTTTTGAACACATGAATGACTATAGAAATGGACATGTTCATTATCCTGTACCCATAGCAGTAAACAATGAAAAAATGATCGCCGTTTTTGATCGACAGAAACAAATTCTACATGTCGGAACTTCATGTAAGACGAATTCATTTGAAGTCCATAATAGTTTTCATCTCAAAGAATTATCTGGCAAAGAGTTTACGATACGGTTTCTAGATAATAATGGAACAAAAATAATTGCTGCAGATCATGCTGAAGATTTTTTTTATATCTACAAGGAGAACGGGGAGTTGGAACGCAAAGTTATACCTGAAAAATATGGATCTATTTATTCTGTTGCGATAAATTACATCACAAAACGGATCCTGGTTTTAACTAGCCGTGGACGTCATCTTTGTAGTTTCTCAGAAACAGGAGAGCTGAAAGACGATGTTGATCTGGAGTCTTCGCCCTTCGGTAAGATTATTTCTAATCCCCATGGTGCAGTTGCTTTGGTTTGGCAACAGCGCGTAACATTTCTTCAACTGTAGTAGACTTATTTTCATGAAGGCAAATATTAAAGAATGCACTATGGGCATAGATCAAATGGCAATGCAATAAATGCATGGTAAATAAAACTTGAATTAGTCAAATCAATTCCCACAGCATGACAATCACATACAAAGAGTTCAGAGAAATTATTTTTAATCATAACTTTCTGAAATCACTGAACTCTCTCTGTGTGTGACTGTCATCCTGTGAGGATTGACTTTTTCTTCACTATAAGCCATCAAATTTGGCATTAAGATTTTACCATTCACTTCAGTGTAATTTTAGTTGCTCATGCAAAGCAGGCGCTATTTCCTCAGTTTAGTATTACAAACCCATGTCTCATCTCTTCGTCAAACAACTGTGACTACATGAACTACATGTATATAATGGCAACAATTTATCCGTCATTTTAAAAGAATAGCCAAAATACTGTAAATAATGTAAATAATCCGCGGTGCCTATTATGTCTATGATGTGGATACTTCGACGCATAAATCGATACAAAGCAATATACTTATAATTATAATCAATACTGTATACCGTATAATGATTTGATTACTGCACAAAATATGCGTTATGTATAGTATCAATTATATATTTTAGCCAGTTGCTTGACCATCACCATAGTTGATCAGCTTTTAAAACTTTTATAATAGAATTGAAATCACTTGATACCTTGTGTACCAGAACTTTCTGCTTACCAGATGTTGGGACAAGAATGTATAAGAAAAACTATAGCTGGAAATTATAAAATAGACTATAGCCATTGTTTGAATAAAAATACAATACCATTGACAATGTTTCTGTAATTTAATTGTAAAATACCTCCAGTGATCTCCTCACACACAATGCCTCACCCACCCCCTCAATTCTCACCCACCTATTTTGAGTCCCATACATTTGAAAATTGCACAGTTAAATATAAAAACCCATTTTGGATTGGACTGTACCAACATGAGCAGCTCTCTTCAGTCTTTCCAGTCGATTCCAGAAATGAAATGACATCATCGCCTATCGCGCCGCGAGTGACGATCATAGCTACGCTTGTGCCAACCACTTGAAGACGTGGAATGTCGGTTTTCCTGCTAAAATTTGTGAAAAATATTAGAATTATGGCGAGCGCACATCAGTTTTAAATTGGCGCTGGAAATAGAATAGTTTAGGGCGATTTGGTTTGAATTAGGTTTCGGTTTTGACAGGATATGAACGATACATAACTTTATAAAGACTTTCTCGTCCCAGTAGGGAGTTTAAGATTCAAGACGCGGCCGCTCGACGACGCTCTCGCAAAACAAAGAAACTCCACACACGAGACAATAGGTCAGAGGTGTGCATAACTTGTGGTGCCACGACAGCGTTCTCGTTCTTACAACGCTTTCAAATGAGGCAATTTCACAGCTTCTCGACGACATGAAAGCAGCTGCAAAGTGATAGGCTAAAGGCTCGTTTACACTTGCGATTTTTGCTGCGATTTTTCTTCTTTTGATAGATGTTAACGAGTGAATTAGTTACTGATGTTCAAATAAAGCTCTTATACATCAGCATTCGTAAGTAATTACGCATTCACATCTGTCAAAGTCATATATACGCAAAAATTTACGCAAATTTACATCGAACTTGCAAGTAGGGTTTTGTGATGAGTAGAAAAGATGCATCAAATACTCACTCGAATCTTCTATCGTATTCACGTTGAAACGAACTCTCCCCGTGATGTGAATAATCATGATATTTGTGTCTATTCTTTTCTCTTTCACCTGAAAATACAAAATCACCCGAGGAAGACGATTAGGGCAATTGCCTGCATCATGCACGAACAAAATAAAGATATTGACTACAAATTGAAGATATTTCATCAGACTAAACTACGGAATAGTAATATAAAAAGGTAGTCAAATTTAATTACAGTATAGAACAATGTTCAGACTACATAAGACCAACTGGATGGTGTATCATAATATCACCAACCTTCCCATATTCATTTAGAAACACGGCCAACTAATTTTGTGTAAGATATCCAGACAGTACATCCTATTTTGAAGAAACATAGAAGTTTTGAAATCGTTAAAAAAAAGTTTTTTATATTAAAAACTTGGAACCCCTCTCTGAAGAATTTCTGAAATTTTCGAACAGACTGACTTTCCAGTCTTTCCTGACGCGGAAATTTTTCGAGTACAAGACAATGAAGTCGTTTGAATTTAAATTTGAATGAATTTAGACGTCTTCCTGGGCGGGGTGGGTATGTTGGTCTCGTGATGGACTCGTAAGAAACAGTCTTTATTTCGATTTTTTACACACATATTCTAGTTATTATTTTAGGAGCACATCAAACCAATATTGAGTTGATATGCACACAATACATCATAATTTGAGACACTAAGTGTTTGCTTACAATAAAAACTGGATTCCCTCTCTAAAGAGTCAGTTTTTGAAATGCCCATCAGGGAGTAGCGAACTCTCCCAAAGTTCGGAATTTTTTGAGACAAAATATAAGTTGGTTTGAATTTGAATGAAATTAGAGGGTGTGTTGATCTTGTGACAGTTTCACAAGCAATTAATATAACGTTTTATTTGAAGAACGCTTCATTTATTTCAAGATGACTGAGATCGTTAGCGGAGTTTTGAAGCTGACATTTGGATTTTTAGTGAACAAGGCTCGCAGTAAAATCTCAGAACGTTTAAACCATGGCGACGTCACCGACGAAGAATGTCGACGCTTGATCGTGAGAGAACTCGATGATATCAAGAGGAAGTTGGATGGATTAGCGAGAAAGGACTTACTGAGCAGTCTTTATTTTCTTCAAGAAGGAATCAATGGTCTTTACCAGTCGTTACAACACTTTAAGGAATCCGAGAATGGACCACAATCGACCGAACAAGCAACCTCAGCTGGAGCTACGTCTTCTGAAGAAACTTTTACTGTTTCTGAAATCAACGAGGTTATGTCTTTAATAAACGCTTTCAATTCATTGAAAATACATTCCAAGGAACGCTATCTCTCTGCCATCGATTCGTTCAAACTCGCTCGTGAAAAAGCCACCGAAGCATTCAGCAACGAAGCTTTGTCCATCGAGGACCGAATTCAAGCGTCGCAGGTTCGAATGATGGCCAGAATTTTAGAAAAATCAGAAGATCCTGACGCGGGGGTAAGCGATTGCCTAGAATACCTGAAGCAGCTTCATGATATCAAAGCTATTCAAGAAATATTTTCTGTTGTGATTGACGGCGGAATTAAATCTCGGCTTAATAAAACGAAGCGACTCAACAATGCTTCGTCTGTTCACCAAATGAATCTGCTTTTGTTTGAGTTTGCCAAAAGGTTTTCGAACTTCCAAACAGCGTTTTTTAATTGGCCCAGGATTTTGCTTGGAAAGAAAACTCATCATCCATTAGTCGGGAGTGATCGCCTTTAGTAAAAATAAGAGTCTGGTGTACAAAGAGTCTACGAATCGCCGTACCTGGGTTACACATTTTCCGAAAGTATTGTTCGATCTTGTTGTGTTGTAAATAGCAGAAGAGAAATTGTTGCGAATATAGTGAAAGATGATGCTGTACAAATATTGAAACCCTCAGGAGAATCCCGCACAATATATGATCCTTCCAAACAAGAGGATTTGCCACGTTGCAAGGTTGTTGCGATGGATATCGATGCCGAAGATAACCTTTACGTCCTCACGAGATTTCGAAAAAGCAATGGTCAACTATTGAGTTTCAAGTTGTTAATATTTGATGAGCATGAAGAGAAAAAACACGAGTCTCTGTTGCCTTTTGAACACTACCATTTATATATATATGCTGTAACCATCGCAGTAAACAATGACAAAATGATCGCCGTTCTTGATCGAGAGAAACAAATTCTACACGTCGGAAGTTCATGTAAGACGAATTCATTTGAAGTCCATAATAGTTTTCATCTCAAAGAATTATCTGACATATTGAATATGATACGGTTTCTAGATAATAATGGAACAAAAATAATTGCTGCAGGTTATGATGAAGATTGTTTTTATATCTACACGGAGAACGGGGAGTTGGAACGGAAAGTTATGATACCTGAAAAATATGGATATATTTATTCTGTTGCGATAAATTACATCACAAAACGGATCCTGGTTTTAACCTATGTTTTAACTATAAACCGTGAACGTCATCTTTGTAGTTTCTCAGAAACAGGAGAGCTGAAAGACGATATTGATCTGGAGTCTTCGTCCTACGCTGAGATTATTTCTAATCCCCATGGTGCAGTTGCTTTGGTTTGGAAACAGCGCGTAACATTTCTTCAACTGTAGTAGACTTATTTTCGTGAACACAAATAAGAAAAATGCACTATGGGCATAGATCAAATGGCAATGCAATAAATGCATGGTAAATAAAACTTGAATTAGTCAAACCAATTCCCACAGCATGACAATCACATACAAAGAGTTCAGAGAAATTATTTTTAATCTTGTATGACTCATAACTCTCTGAAATCACTGAACTCTCTCTGTGTGTGACTGTCATCCTGTGAGGATTGACTTTTTGTTCACTATAAGCCATTAATATTTTACCATTCACATGATCACATCAGTGTAATTTTAAATCACATGCATGACATATCAAAAAAATCATTAATAGACACTCCCCAAATTGTAAATTGGGCATGGACATTGTAGAGTATTGTTGATAAACAGTTTTTCATTGTCAGTCATCAAATTCAAGAATTGGCAATTTTGTAACATTTTATACAGAATGACTTTCTCATAGACATGCAGTAAAATAAGATAAAAAGTTTATTTTTTTGTGAAACACAAGTTTCAAGCAAAATTATAGCTCTGGAAAAGCAACACTGAACTCTTGAACAGTCCTTAATTATATATTTTAGCCAGTTGCTTGACCATCATCATAGCTGATGAGCTTTTAAAACTTTTATAATAGAATTGAAATCACTTGATACCTTGTGTACCAGAACTTTCTGCTTACCAGATGTTGGGACAAGAATATATACGAAAAACTATAGCTGGAAATGATAAAATAGACTATAGCCATTCCTCCCCAGCACCCAACAACCCGTACCTTTCCATAATATTCATCAAATTCCGTCTGATAATCGCCTCAGCTTCGCCGAGATTATCCTTCCCATCTTGTTTCTGATGTTTCCATTTTATCTCGTCTCTGTCTTGCCGCTCCAGCTCAACGTACAACGCGTCAAACTTCTCTTGTGATAACAACAATTGCTTCGCCTTTTGCCAAACTATGTTCACTCTTCCCATGCGAAACGGATTGTTTTTCTCCGTGTTTGAACTACGTGAGACGGAGAAGAACGCGGACACAAGTAAAACAAACAAAACGGCAAAAACAAGCTGTTCATTCTGGTAAAACTTGTAAAATAAAGTCAAATGTTTTCAAATATTTCATACAGAAATTTCCATTTTGTTCATGTTGGGAACAATCACAGCCTCGCTCTCATTGTTTGATTGGTTTCTGACACGTGTAAAAAAACAGGGACGCGCTGCGTACAAGACTCACACACTTTCTGCCACAAGATATTTCTAATCATTTTCTCCTTATTTCGACTTTTTTTCACAGAACTCTAGTTCATATTCACTTAGAAGCACGGCCAAATAATTTTCTGTAAGATATGCACACAGTACATCGTAATATGAAGAAACATAGCAGTTGAAAATCGGCAAACAAAAGTTTTTTATATCAAAACCTTTGACCCCTTCTCTGAAGAATTTTTGAAACAGAACTTTGCTGACGCTGAAATTTTTCGAGTATAAGACAATGAAGAATAGAATTTAAATTTGAATGAAATTAGACGTCTTGCTGGGCGATGGATGGGTATGTTGGTCTCGTGATTGTCACTGATGGACTCGTAAGAAACAGTCTTTATTTCGACTTTTTACACACATATTCTAGTTCATTTTCATTTAGGAGCACATCAAACCAATATTTAGTTGATATGCACACAATACATCATAATCTGAGACACTAAGTGTTTGCTTACAATAAAAACTGTGATTCCTCTCTAAAGAATCAGTTTTTGAAATGCCCAGCAGGGAGTAGCGAACTCTCCCGAAGTTCGGAATTTTTTGAGACAATATATAAGTTGGTTTGAATTTGAATGAAATTAGAGGGTGTGTTGATCTTGTGACAGTTTCAGAATAAGTTAATATAACGTTTTATTTGAAGAACGCTTCATTTATTTCAAGATGACTGAGATCGTTAGCGGAGTTTTGAAGCTGACGTTTGGATTTTTAGCGAACAAGGCTCGCAGTAAAATTGCAGAAGGTTTAAACGATGGCGACGTCACGGACGAAGAATGTCGACGCTTGATCGTGAGAGAACTCGATGATATTAAGAGGAAGTTGGATGGATTGGCGAAAAGGATTTACTGAGCAGTTTTTGTTTTCTTCGAGAAGGAATAAATGGTCTTTATCAGTCGCTACAGCAGTTTAAGGAATCCGAGAATGGATCAGAATCGACCGAACAAGCAACCTCAGCTGAAGCTACGTCTTCTGAAGAAACTGGTCTTGTTTCTCAAATCAACGAGGTTATGTCTTTGATAAGCGCTTTCAATTCATTGAAAATACATTCCAAGAACGCTATCTCTCTGCCATCGATTCATTCAAACTCGCTCGTGAAAAAGCCACCGAAGCATTCTGCAACGAAGCTTTGTCCATCGAAGACCGAATTCAAGCGTCGCAGGTTCGAATGATGGCCAGAATTTTAGAAAAATCAGAAGATCCTGACGCGGGGGTAAGCGATTGCCTAGAATACCTGAAGGAGCTTCATGATATCAAAGCTATTCAAGAAATATTTTCGGTTGTGATTGACGGCGGATTTAAATCACGGTTTAATAAAACGAAGCGACTCGACAATGCTTGGTCTGTTCACCAAATGAATCTGCTTTTGTTTGAGTTTGCCAAAAGGTTTTCGAACTTGCAAACAGTGTTTTATAATTGGCCCAAGATTTTGCTTGGAAAGAAAATCATCATCCATTAGTCAGGAGTGATCGCCTTATTGAAAAATACAGAGAGTCTGGTGTGAAGATTACGTCGCCGTACCTGGGTTACACATTTTCCGAAAGTATTAATTCACCTCGTTGTGTTGTAAATAGCAAAAGAGAAATTGTTGCGATAGTGGGAGACGAATCTGTTAAAATCTTGAAACCCTCAGGAGAATCTCGAACAATATTTGATCCTTCCAAACAAGAGGATTTGCCAGGTTGCAAGGTAGCTGGATGGATATCGATGCTGAAGATAACCTTTACGTCATCACGAGATTTGGAGAAAGCGATGATCAACCATGGAGTTACAAGTTGTTGATATTTGAAGCATGGAAAGAAAAAACTTGAGTCTCTGTTACCTTTTAAACACATGAAAGAATATACATATATTAGGATATGCTGTACCCATAGCAGTAAACAATGACAAAATGATCGCCGTTTTTGATCGAGAGAAACAAATTCTACATGTCGGAACTTCATGTAAGACGAATTCATTTGAAGTCCATAATAGTTTTCATCTCAAAGAATTATCTCACAGAGTCTATATGATACGGTTTCTAGATAATAATGGAACAAAATAATTGCTGCAGGTCTTTGGGAAGATTGTTTTTATATCTACACGGAGAACAGACAGTTGGAACGCAAAGTTATGATACCTGAAAAATATGGATCTATTTATTCTGTTGCGATAAATTACATCACAAAACGGATCCTGGTTTTAACTAACATTGGACGTTATCTTTGTAGTTTCTCAGAAACAGGAGAACTGAAAGACATTTAGATCTGGAGTCTTCGTCCTTCGTTGAGATTATTTCTAATCTCCATGGTGCAGTTGCTTTGGTTTCGAAACAGCGCGTAACATTTCTTTAACTCTAGTGGACTTATTTTCATGTAAAAGGCAAATATTAAAAAATGCACTATGGGCATAGATCAAATGGCAATGCAATAAATGCATGGTAAATAAAACTTGAATTAGTCAAATCAATTCCCACAGCATGACAATCACATACAAAGAGTTCAGAGAAATTATTTTTAATCTTGTATGACTCATAACTCTCTGAAATCACTGAACTCTCTCTGTGTGTAACTGTCATCCTGTGAGGATTGACTTTTTGTTCACTATAAACCATTAATATTTTACCATTCACATGATCACATCAGTGTAATTTTAAATCACATGCATGATATATCAAAAAAATCATTAATAGACCCTCCCCAAATTTGTAATTGGGGCATGGACATTGTAGAGTATTGTTGATAAACAGTTTTTCATTGTCAGTCATCAAATTCAAGAATTGGCAATTTTGTAACATTTTATACAGTCATACAATGACTTTCTCATAGACATGCAGTAAGATAAGATAAAAAAGTTTATTTTTTTGTGAAACACAAGTTTCAAGCAAAATTATAGCTCTGGAAAAGAAACACTGAACTGTTGAACAATCCTTAGTTATATATTTTAGCCAGTTGCTTGACCATCACCATAGCTGATGAGCTTTTAAAATTTTTATAATAGAATTGAAATCACTTGATACCTTGTGTACCAGAACTTTCTGCTTACCAGATGTTGGAACAAGAATGTATAGAAAAAACTATAGCTGGAAATAATAAAATATACTATAGCCCTTGTTTAAAATAAAAATACAATACCATTGACAATGTTTCTGTAATTTAATTGTAAAATACCTCCAGTGGTCTCCTCACACACAATGCCTCACCCACCCCCTCAATTCTCACCCACCTATTTCGACTCCCATACATTAGAAAATTGCACAGTTAAATATAAAAACCCATTTTGGATCTGGACTGTACCAACATGAGGCAGCTTCTTCAGTCTTTTCCAGTCGATTCCAGAAATGAAATGACATCATCGCCTATCGCGCCGCGAGTGACGATCATAGCTACGCTTGTGCCAACCACTTGAAGACGTGGAATGTCGGTTTTCCTGCTAAAATTTGTGAAAAATATTAGAATTATGGCGAGCGCACATCAGTTTTAAATTGGCGCTGGAAATAGAATAGTTTAGGGCGATTTGGTTTGAATTAGGTTTCGGTTTTGACAGGATATGAACGATACAATAACTTTATAAAGACTTTCTCGTCCCAGTAGGGAGTTTAAGATTCAAGACGCGGCCAGCTCGACGACGCTCTCGCAAAACAAAGAAACTCCACACACGAGACAATAGGTCAGAGGTGTGCATAACTTGTGGTGCCACGACAGCGTTCTCGTTCTTACAACGCTTTCAAATGAGGCAATTTCACAGCTTCTCGACGACATGAAAGCAGCTGCAAAGTGATAGGCTAAAAGGCTCGTTTACACTTGCGATTTTTGCTGCGATTTTCTTCTTTTGATAGATGTTAACGAGTGAATTAGTTACTGATGTTCAAATAAAAGCTCTTATACATCAAAGCATTCGTAAGTAATTACGCATTCACATCTGTCAAAAGTCATATATACGCAAAAATTATACGCAAAATTTACATCGAACTTGCAAGTAGGGTTTTTGTGATGAGTAGAAAAGATGCATCAAATACTCACTCGAAATCTTCTATCGTATTCACGTTGAAACGAACTCTCCCCGTGATGTGAATAATCATGATATTTGTGTCTATTCTTTTTCTCTTTCACCTGAAAATACAAAATCACCCGAGGAAGACGATTAGGGCAATTGCCTGCATCATGCACGAACAAAATAAAGATATTGACTACAAATTGAAGATATTTCATCAGACTAAACTACGGGAATAGTAATATAAAAAGGTAGTCAAATTTAATTACAGTATAGAACAATGTTCAGACTACATAAGACCAACTGGATGGTGTATCATAATATCACCAACCTTCCCATATTCATTTAGAAACACGGCCAACTAATTTTGTGTAAGATATCCAGACAGTACATCCTATTTTGAAGAAACATAGAAGTTTGAAATCGTTAAAAAAAAGTTTTTTATATTAAAAACTTGGAACCCCTCTCTGAAGAATTTCTGAAATTTTCGAAACAGACTGACTTTCCAGTCTTTCCTGACGCGGAAATTTTTCGAGTACAAGACAATGAAGTCGTTTGAATTTAAATTTGAATGAATTTAGACGTCTTCCTGGGCGGGGTGGGTATGTTGGTCTCGTGATGGACTCGTAAGAAACAGTCTTTATTTCGATTTTTTTACACACATATTCTAGTTCAATATTTATTTAGGAGCACATCAAACCAATATTGAGTTGATATGCACACAATACATCATAATTTGAGACACTAAGTGTTTGCTTACAATAAAAACTGTGATTCCCTCTCTAAAGAGTCAGTTTTTGAAATGCCCATCAGG